CTCCTCTCCCCTTCTTCCCCCTCTCCATCGCTCCCCCTCTACCCCGACGACATAACGACGACATCTACCCCTCGCCAAAAATGCTAATGAAGTGAAAGAAACCTGATAGCCTGCTCGATACGAGGGGAGTTAAACGATGCAGTAGAATAGGAAGGAACAGTCAGAAGGTATCGCAGCTGTTATCAATTTGACCACTAGGAAAGGAACGAATTCATTCGGATTTAATTACAAACGTATGTGGTCGCGACGGGCTCGCATGTTGTTTGACGGTGTTAGGGCTATGGTAGCCGGACGGTTGCGTACTGATGTTAGATTCTTCTGAGTGAATCTGTCGCGCAGAAAGCGACGAAATTGCGCGGCGTGGTTTCTCTATCGATAATCAGTGCACAACGGCTTTGAAAAGATCCATAATTGTTAGTTAAAACTTGACTGTGAATCTTCGTCTAAAATAGTGAATATATTATTGAAATATAGTTAGAATGACAGACGATTAAGCCATATAGGAAAGCCCAAGCCTGGTGAAGGCGGAGATCGGATGGTACAGGTGGGACTACCTCGGTACCCCTTCCGACGACGATGTTGCAGAATAAGTTGTGTTATGAAAAAAGGCAAATGTGTCTACTATAAATGAATTTTGTGTCCCTATGGAAGCAAAACGTAGCAGTGCGGACGAAGGGCGTACCGCTGAGGATCCATTCTCGGGGGGGGGGGGCTGGCAGGGGGGGGGTGCTCCTGCTATCTTATCCGTAGTACTAGAGAGCAGTTCTTTGGGCTATCGAACACTACGGATAAGATAATAAGTGAACGACTCATTTCGAGCGTACTTTTGATAAGGACCGGTGGATGTCCTACATTCCACACATCCTATCCACTTTTCTGCACAGGTGATCCACCCTGGAGCTCCTCCACCCTTAGCCCTAGGCAGAGGTGTCCATTCTCCTGGTCCAGGACCGTTCCCTTGGACCATGGCAGGCGGAAATGAAAGCATCTCAGGGTTTCTTCCACATTACACCGATACTTATCAGAAGTCTACTTTAAATGAGTCGATTACGTGTCGTGAGCCCTCTAATCCTTATCTTGTATTGGAGAAAAAATAAGGTCCCCCCCCCCTCGGAGTGGATTTTTTTCCGGGCGCATCCATAGAAGACCTGGTAAGGCATTCTCTGTCCCTTTCAATGAATTGTCTGCCCTACCGCTCACGCGCCGTCGATGCAGCCGTTTCAACGGTGAGAACCAGCATCCGTTTTCAAGTTCTGAGCCGTTTCTTTGAGTATTTTTTTTACATTGTACCCTTTACCTTGGGCGGAAGTGGTGTAGTCACAAATGGCGCGCTTACCACGCGAGCGGTCCGGGATCGGGAAGAGAGATAACGCATGTCATCCTGCCTCACTTCATCGACATTCCTTGTGTTGTTCGCATCTCCACCCCACTTGTCAGCTGAGGGAAGAACGTTCTGAAACAAGTGAAACAAGTGAGTGTGAGTATAAGAGATGCTTAAAAAACTTGTGTAGGATGCACCGCGCAGTTTTACATCTGGCGTTAGAATGAATGAGAGCAGCAAACGAAAATAATAAAGAGTGACACCGGCAGCTGCGCAACGTGCGCTTGCCCAAATCTAGAAATCGGTCGGCGATGACAACAACCCTTCTTCAGCGACCGGAGTCGAGGCCGTTCGAGGGCCAACAAAACTATCCTAAACTTTTTGTGCATCAGATTCGCATATACGGCGGGCGTTAGGGTTCAAATATTTGAAACCTCTGTAAATACGTGTCGGCGAGACACCTACCCAATTTTTGTTGTGAATGGGACTTATTGTATGTAGGCCATAGGCAGGTTATAGAGAGACACCAGAGTGCGTTAGCCATTTTCGTTTACCCCCGAGCTTCTGCTTCTCCTAGGTTTATTCTGGAGACTGCCCCCGTATATTGCGATAGCGCACATATCCTCTTCATGCAGAGTTTGAAAATTGGGACTCAGTTGACGGCCTCCTAAATCATGTTATCCGCACTGAATAGTGATACAATTGTCTACTTTATACTAATACATCTGTGTTTTCAACTAGCTGTTTCGACCCTTTTTTCTCATAGTCACAGTATACGTGAGCATCTCGAAAAACAATATAAGTTTTATGAAAAATAAATAGGGCAAAACTGACTCATTCAGCCTACATGTAGGCCCGGTGTTGGGCACGAATTCGCCATTCAAATTGTTACCACAGCTTCCGAACCACCAACCTCTGAAAGTTGAGGATTGCCAGGTTTCAAATCCCAAATTGCTCATCTGAGAAATTCGATTCAGTTTATACTGAAACCAACTTCCTTAGGCCGCGTTCATAGTTTGCGACTCGGGAGATTAGGATAGTAGGCGACAGGATATTAGGAGTAGAGTAGGAGATTGCGCTGACAAGATTGGATACGTATCGATTGAAATCGCTGGAGAGTAGTAGATTGGGCGACTTCAAGCGAATAGATCAATACATATCTAATCTTGTCAGCGCACTATCCTAATCTACTACTATCCTAATCTCCTACTCTACTACTATCCTACTATCGTAATATCGCAATCTACTACTCTCCGGCGATTTCAATCGATACGTATCTAATCTTGTCAGCGCAATCTCCTACTCTACTACTATCCTAATCTACTACTATCCTAATCTCGCCGTCAATACATATGTTTTTCATTGTCGCGTACTATCCTAATCTCCGGAGTCGCGAACTATGAACGCGGCCTTAGCGTTGTGTAAAATGAATAATCTAAAACGAAAACTATTAGCGTTAAAAGAAAATACCCAGTTTGGTCGTCGAAAATCGGAACAGTTCTTTCCCCGTAGTATCGCACGATATCGCAGGAATCTCTAAAATTCATGACTTCCAAAGTTATTTCGTCACAATCAAAAAAAAAAAGCTCTAAAAAATACTCAAAATACGTACTTCATATTATCGCTCATTTTATTGAATGTTGTGAATGGTACGCCAATATCCTTTTTCCCGGAATTTGTCGATATGAAATCAAGACCAATTTTCGGTATCACCGCTTCAGCATTAAGGATGTAGGAGTCTTTAGATATCTGGAAATTATTTATGATTGTGAAATTTTGCTCCAGACTGAAATTTTAACTCAACACATTGGATACCAGGTAAGCTGTAACCGCGCTA